GAAATGAAAAACAGAGAGAACAATGATGAAGATGAACAGAGAGAAAGTGAGCGAGTGGAGGAAGTAGAGAAGAAGGAATGCGTTGAGATTTCTGACCTTGTTGCTGAACGAAAGTGGAGGAGAGGCAAATGTGCAGGGGATGCGGAAGAAGAAATATATGATGGAGGGAAGGGGGGGAAAAGAAATAAGGGAGTGATGCTGGTAGAGTTTTGAGATGGACACGTGGCGGTGACAACGGGGGAAAACAGAGAGCATGGCTCAACGGCGTTATCGGGGTCGTTTTGTTTTGTTTTTGTATTGTTACTGTATACAATTTCCAAGGTGTCCTTCGTATTCTACACAGCCCCTATACAACTGGATCACCTCCATTTCTCTCCCCTTTTCTGTTTCTTTTCAAATACCCAAAACACCCTCTCTCGCAACCAAAATGAATGTAAACAAGCCAGAAGGGCAGAAACAGAATATGCACCACTCAGTCCTCATGGCCCTTTCCTTAACTAACAAACCACCCTCTCAACTCAACTCAACTCGCTATAACCATGCAACTCTCGAATCATTCTAAAAGAAAAGTTTGATATCAAATGATAAGGAATCATTCTAAGAGAAAGCTCTGATATAAAAGGATAAAGAATATTTAAAAGAGAAGAAAGATTTAGATTATTTGTTGATGGTATATCTCATTGCAATAATATTTGTTTGAGATTCAAATCATTTTAAAAGTAAGATTGATCATGTCTAGCCTAAATTAAGCTACATGAAATTTGAAAGAAACTAACAATATTTCAAGACAATAACATTTGTTTGAGATTCGAATCACTCCCCAAGTAAGATCGATTATATCAAGTTCTAATGATTCTAAACATGCAACCTAAACTATATAAAATTGCAAAAAACCTTTACATACGTGATTCTACTTTACAAAGATGATTTATATATCAAAATCAAGACCCTTAATCTTACTTTAGCCATTTTAAGAGTGGTAACCTTCATAATTTATGACCATAATGATGTAATTGTAAACTTAAAAGTAAATGAAAGTAACTCTAAATTATCATCCACTCAAAATTTGTAACCATATAATAATAGTGAAGTTTGATTCTTCACATGAATTTTAACATCGGTAATAATTTGAACAACAGTTTCTTCACATCTTTCTTGAAATTTATAATGCATAATTGATGTCTTGGTTCATATCACTATGCGTCCCCTTATAGAAAGTATATTATGAGACATTTTCAATCTTTCTTGGGTAGACGTCATTTTGGCGAAGAGTCTTACGGTGTCGTGGAGCATCCATCCAGTGTTTGATTAACATCAAATTTGGCAAGCATTCATATTTCATATAAACGAACTTGACTCGAAACGCATATCCAAATTCTCTCCAAAATTCCAACATTCAAGATGAAGGCCCAGAGCCCTACCTAGCCCTTTAACAAACCTATCTCTTACACTCATGTCTACTTTGTTGCCCATATCTTGCTTATGTCTAGCCTCTCTTCAATTTACATATTTCTCGATTAATCTAGGAAGTTTTCTCTTCTAACTGTCCATGTAATTCTCTTTATAAGATTTAACAGAGAGAATGAAAAACCGTAACAAATTTTATAAAATAAAATTGTTACTTTCACTTGATGTCATGATTATACTTATCCAAAGCATCAAACCATGTTGTTTATGGTCGCATGATAGATGTCCTAGTTTATTTGGGGAGGATGTCACGGTCATGCATGTCCATAGCGTGTTAACCATTCAATTATAGAGGTTTAAAAGTAAATTTGATATTAATTAATTTTAACAATGAGATAATATAAATACCACAAAATAAACCATTTAGACATACCATCAAACAAGAACTTCGCTAAGCTGAAAAAAAAAAAAAATTAGCAATCTTTGTATTGAATTTATCAGAGACAAACAAATTAAAAAGGAGAGTCGAAAATGTTTCTTTACATACAAAAAAAAATACTCAATTTTGTGTTGAGGTTGTGTATAAAACTTAAGGCCTAAAAAATATACATACAAAAAGATCAAAATCTCTCTGTTTTATGTATATGCTCTCTTTAAAATCAGGAAAAAGAATCTGATTCTGTTGTAAAATGACTATCCATTGTATATAATATGAGATCTTGATGGAGTATGTTGCCTCGCATTCGTGGATCTCAAGTTTTGGTAGTAGTCACCTTGATCGTGGCGATGCGGTGACCTTCCTTCTTCTCCATGCTCCGCCACCATTGCTACTCCGAACTGTTCCACTACCAAAACTGAAGCCGTCGCTGCTAAATCGGACGAAGCTAGCAAATCGCCGATTGCTCCAAGCTCTGGACATTCGCTCCAGTCTGTGAGTCCAGCGATGAGTGGCGATGCTTGAGCTTCTCCTCTGCCAACGATGAACAGGTCGTGAGCACCGTCCATTGATCTTATGGCCGCCACTGTCTCCTCGCCGTTGTTCAAGATTCTCTCTGTGTATGTAATTGAATTGTTTTCTTCATTATTTGTCATGAATTCATTTATGTATTCTTCATCCACCTGCCTTTCATTGACCATATCTGTTTGCATTGCTGAAACTCCTTGTGCATCTGCTTCTTGTTTTGCTTCTATTACTTGTTCTGCGGCGATGAATCGCATTACGGTTAAGGTCACTCTTGGATTTTCTGACATTCTCCATGCGTATGCTAGAGCTTCTCTGTCGTCTTGTCCACCGAAGAACAACACGATTATGTTGTAATGAGACGCCTTGTTCGATCCGCTTTGATTCGAGCCACTTAGGCCTCGATCGACTAGGATTCCGACGGAGCAAGGGGCATTGACTAACACATTTTGGTTAACCAATCTTAGTGCTGGATTTGTGGATTCCATTCCTCCATCGACTGTTTGTTGCTTGTGGAATGGGATGATTATGAAGGCGACGCGTTTGTCCTCGGCTAAATAGCAGATGTCTTCGTGCATTGTGGAGTAAGGGGAAATAGCTGTTAGAGGCTGAACAGAGACGCAATCGATGTGTTGTTCATAGTTCTCGAATGCACTGATGATATGTTCTGAATGAGCTTGGGTTCGATTTACGGCAGGGCGACCTGATTTTCTGGTGTTGTGGACAATGAGCATGGCGGAGGCTCGGCCTGTGAGTTCGACCAAGTGTAGCACATAAATGCAAATTGGGGATCTTTTGGTTGGGTTGGAAGCATCCAGGAGGTTGATGATTGTCGGCACATTTCGAGGTGTGTGGATGCAAACCAACACTCTGAACTCCGAATCTGGCTTTGAAGCTTGGATTGTTCGTTTCTTATACGGCAGAAGCCTTCTTGTTGGCCTATAGAGTATGGTAACTACAGGTGTTATTATCCCTGTCATAATGAGGGCTACAATCACCATTACTGTGAATGTTTGATCATCTAATATCTGCATATTCAATTTACATGGATTCTTTGGTAAGGATGCTATGAAAAGTGGAAAGGTTTATGGCAAAGAAAAATAAAAACAGCCCAACTTTTGTTATCTGCAAATTATGGGGTATTCTAGCTTAGGATGTATTCAAGATTGTTGTTCTTGTTGGGGCCATTTAAGTTCTACTACATATGTCTCATGTATTTTCAAGATCAAGGAGGGACGGACAATACATGTTCAGAGTGTATACCTGTTGGTCCTTTCCGACGTTGAGGATGATCATTTCAACAAGGCCTTTGGTGTTCATAAGCAAGCCTAATGTGACACCTTCGCGATAGGACATCTGATAACAAACGGAGGCAAGGAGAGTTCCAATGACCTTGCCAATGAAAGCAAGGACAGTGATGAACAGAATAGATACCCAAGTCATTAATCCATCTATGCTTCTCACATTAGTCTTGAGCCCACTTATTGCAAAGAAGAGAGGGAGCAAAAGCCCTGAAACAAAATCCTCAAGTTTCTCAATCAAAGCCACTCCAAGTGATCCATTTGGGATGACCAACCCAAACACAAAAGCTCCAAAGACCGAGTGTGTTCCTATGGCATCTGTAATAAACCCTGAGATAATAACCCCTGTGAGGATCAAACAAATACTGAACTCACTCACACTTTCTCCTTCTGGGGTTTTTCGAATCATCCATGCGACAATCGGTCTAATTATGAAGATACAAAACAAGACAAAGCCTGTACTTGACAGTACAACCCATAGAGAAGCCAAAGATGAGGAATCGTTCTCAGACAAGGCTAGGGCTAAAGCTAAGAGAACCCAAGCGCACATATCATTGAAAAGGGCAGAAGCCATTGCCATCCTTCCAAGCTCTGAGTTTATCAATTTAAGCTCTGCGAGAATTCTAGCAAGCACTGGGAAAGCAGTCACAGAAAGTGCAATACCAAGAAACATGATATAAGTGCTGTAGTTCAATTTCTGATCTACTTTGTGCAGCTGGAATGAAAAAACAGCTCCTATTCCGAATGGAAGAATCATTCCTGCTGCAGCTATTGCCATTGCCTTCCTACCAGATCGACGAATCACTGAGAGTTCCATCTCCACACCAATCAAGAACAGAAAGTAGAGAAGCCCCACGTTTGCCATTGCTTCAAGCACCATAACACTTCTTAAAGGAAATAAGGCGTTGGAAAATTGATCACTCCTCCCCAGTACTGAAGGCCCCAAAATCACTCCACCCTATATTACACGCAGAAATCAAGTGTAAAGCTTCAAATGCCAACTATTTAGCTGCACGAAAAAACCCAGAAAAAGAAAACAAAATCTTGAACTCACCAAAATTTCAGAGATGACTCGAGGTTGACGAAAGGGTTTTAAGAGGAAAACCAAAGTGCGAGTCATCATAACCACCATTGTTAACTGCAGGATAAAGAGAGGGAGAGAATACTCCAAAGGGTTGTCGCCTTGCCACACCCCATTTGTTGTGATCATTCTTGGCGCATAGCAGATGATTTTATCCTCTGTGCTATTAGAGGTTAAGGAATTCTCATCCATTTCTTCTTCTATTTGCTAATCACTTCTCTGTTGCAGTGCAGGAAAAACCACCATCAACAGAACCTTCATGAAACTTGTGGAAGCTAATGAAAGGTCTCATCCAACCAATGTGTAATCTTCGCAAGAAAATGAGCCCATGAATTGTAAGTGTTGATACTTTCAATTGGTTTGCATTTGCATTTCCTGTTTTACCAGTGAAAACTCAACTTGTTTGAATGGGGAGAAGAAAACAGAACGAGAAATGTTGAAGTAATATTTGTATTTGAGAAAATTAAGTGAGGATCTGTGGCCACAGATAGATTGACTGTTTCTTTACCCCATATTCTTGATGGGTTGAAAATGTAGGAGGCGTTAAACATGCTATTTTAGAGAATTAACAACATTAACCTGCGGTTTGTTAGGGAATTGATATGGAAAGACATTTTTTTGGGTTTTTTTTTTTTTTTGATAAGCAACATAAGTTATAAAAATACTTAGAAACCATCACGATACATTTAAAAAAAATGTAAAATTTAAAATTTTAAAAATTTAAAAGGTATTTTCTTTTAGTTCAAAGAATGTGGGGTGGGTGATTAAACATTTCACTTTATTAGTATCTTACTTATTGAGTAAAGTTCATGTGTGCAGGTATATTCTTAAATGATTGAGTTCACTTGGTTTGTTGACCTATTCCTAAAAGGTATCGATTATTGGTACTTTTATCCATCAATTAATTCCGAATATCAACTTACCTTTTTTAAAATTAGTTTAAAATATTGGCAACTCTGTATGCCACCGATAAAAATAATGATTTATATTTTATGTTTTACATTGACAATGCATATGAGTACCTTTTTTAATGAAAATTCACACACAACGTTTACATGAATACTGATGTTATGGGGTAACAAATTTGATAAGGTTGTGTTTGTCACAGAAGCTTCGATGCTTAAGATGTGTATGCATGTATGTCTGTATATATATGTATACATGTATTTTAGTCTATATATATATATATATATATTCTAATGGGGTGTCTTGTTCCTACTACCTAGGATAATGACTCTCCCTTCTCTAAAGGCTACGCTTGGAAAGTCGTAATAAACAAGAGTGAATTCAATTCTCTTTTTTCTTTTTAGTTCCAGAAGCATCCCTGCCTTAAAAAACGTTGCAGTGCTTCGTTTATAGGCTCCGAGTGTGGTTATGCTGTTTGAAGTTTCTCGTATACAGGCCTCATTACATCAAGGACTTCCGCGTAGGACAAGTAATGGGCCAATAAATAGGACCTCTTGTTTTAATAAAAAGGTAAAAATTTTACCGTGTTTTTACTTTCTCAAGTCTACCTACATCGTGATCTATGCTTTTAGAAGACTTGAAAATTTGGTTAGGGCACGTAGATCGTAAGAGCACGATTGTCACAATTGATTTTTAAGTTGTTCAAAGCACAAATTCAGGCATGGGCTGACTCAGGAAAAACTAAAATAGGTAAAAAATTTCACCTTTTTAAACAAAGAAACTCGAAAATTTTAAAACATAAAATCAAACACAAAATGCATACATGCATATATGAATTTTGTGCATTTATGCATGGATGTATATGTACGTGTTGCATGCATACAAATGTATGTACATACGAAAAATATAGTTTTGAGTTTAAATACAACTAGGGAATGCTGAATAAAACAAGACCGAGGCAAAAAGACAAAATCTATGGACGCTCTCGAACCTAGATTGTCTCTCTATAGGACTTGCTCTAGACTACTCTTATCATCCACCAATCATTACTTAAAAACATGTAAAAACTAGAGTGAGTATTTAATACTCTTTAAATAGGCTATTTGTACTCTTTTGATTGTGTTCATGACTGATGCTAGGGTACCATGCTCTAAATCTATTCTAAGGCGTGACATGGATTCTATTATGAGGATCTTTGTCCTAGGGCTCTAAGCTCTAGGCTTTGAGTCCTTAAACTTGGGTTGTCTTATGTCTTGCCCTTGTTTATGCAATTTGTAACCCCTCATCCTATGATGAGTTTAAGGAGAGTAGATCCCAATGGGATGTTTATTTCTACTACACACAATGTATAATATAAGTTCTGATCTTAAAACACTCTCCCGGAAAAACCTACTATGACAAATAACATGACACTAAAAAACCAATGTTTGAGATTCTGGCAAGGATTTAGAACTCGGATTTGGCCCATGATTGCTTCAACATTCTCCTACATTCTCCACAACATAGTTTAAGTTTTGAAATCTTGCAAAGTAAAGCATCTTGTAAAGATTCTAGATAGGGCATCCTACTTAAGTGAGGAAATTATGAGATCATGATGTACCACATTACCGGAGGTCTAGGGTGACTTAGGGCATGAGGTGAGTCTGTGTATAGTAGTAACTAAGTAACTAACCGTTCAGATTTATTAGGCTTAAGGTTTTGGTTGGTTCTTTAACTCTAAAGCATTAGTCATAAGTTCTCATGCTCATGTTCCAATTTCCAACGGTCTAACTAAAAGGCTTAAGGCACAATCTAAGTATACAATCTTCATAAAGCCCTAATTCAAGCACACATATCATGATTATACCAAAACACCATAACTAATTAATTCATAAGTAGACATCATGTAAAGTTTCATGTCAATCGGAGTTCATTAAAACCATAAAATACCATAGAATGTATTTTAAGGGAATTTTTGTCATTTTTACTCCTAACGTTGGTTTATACCCTAAACATACTCCTATAACCTTCAAAGTTGGCACACATCAATATTTTATGATATTATTGAGTTATTTAGTGAGTCAATTTCATAAATTATTGAGTTATGGGTCCTATATAAACATCCCTTTTAAGTTCTTGACATGTGGTTCTGGCCTAATCTCTTAATACTCTCTAAATATTTAGTCAACTTAACATTCTAGGGTATTTTCAAGCAAAGCATATCTTAAGAGAAAAGATTAGTATAGGTAATTACTTGCTCGGGCGCTTTTGGAGTCTTGTCTTAAGTCCATTCCAAACTCAAAATTCGTCTAGATAGGTTGCTTAAACGCGTTCTTAAATGTTATTGTATCACATTTTATTTTATTATTATTATTATTAAAATTTAAGAGTATTAAAGAACGGATAAATTTGAGTGATATTGTCCAATTATAACGTTTTTGATTTTTGCAACATCGTAAACTCTGTAAATTATAAATTAACTGCAATTCAATCATCCCGCCATTTCCAACGTTTTGCTTGCTGTGGAAGCTCGAGACAAACTATGAGTTTTCTAATTAGGGTTCATAGTTTCAATTTCCTCTTCCCCTCCCACCCCAATTTTCTTACACCACTCGACCATGCCGATCGAAATGCCCCCAGGCCTGCCATTCTCGGTGGATACATGGACTCCTTCTTCCAAGCAAAAGCGCCACCATTTTCTAACGCACGCTCACATGGATCATACCATTGGAATTGCCGCCGCCCATTCCTCCTTCCCTATTTTTTCTACTTTTATCACCAAATCCATCGTTCTTCAGCACTTCCCTCAGGTTTCTCTTCACTATCGTATTAGTTCTCTGACTGTTTTTCTTTCCAGGACGCTTAATTTGACTTCGAGTTCTTGTTTCTTTCTTTTATTTTCGTAGCTTCATGATTCGTTGTTCGTATGTATCGAGGTGGGGCAAACGCTGGTCGTAAAAGATCCTGAAGGTGATTTCACTGTTACAGTTTTCGATGCTCATCATTGCCCTGGTAATTTATTAATCCGACCCATGATTTGATGTGTTTGGATTTATTTTTACTCAAGAGATTTTACAGATTAAGGGCTTAAATCTACGCATCTCAATTGTGAGGTCAGTTCCTATCCGCTAGGAATTTGAATTTTAGAAATACCCAAGATCAGCTGCCAGACCTGCTGCACACGATTATAGGATCAAGATTAACAGCGCATTGAAAGTTAATTGTTATGCGTGAAACTACGGGGTCAATGAAGCAAGTACCGGGTCTCTGGGCTTTATTTGCTTCAAACACCAATTTGCCTATGTTCGATAGATGCTTTCTCTCTCTGATAATATACATAGTTTCAAGGGAAAGAAAATCCCACAAACCATGATTATGAGCTAAAGTAAATTGCAAAATACAACCAAGCTGTCTTATTTGTTTGATCAAAATAGGAGAATAATTAAAGGACCTTTAAACAAGAAACTTCAAGAATCAACTTCTTATTATAAATAATATATTTGTTTGAATGAGTGATAGCTAGATGCTCATTGGATGGTGTAGAGGGTTCGTGTATGAGTTTTTAGCACAACCGCAATGGGTTGGAAGTAAACTTTTATGCAAGTTTTTTCTCCGAGGTTTTTCCCCTCACCAACATGAAATTATCAACTATCAAGGATATTTTGGACGCCTTCATTGTAAAGTCTGGGACCTTAATTCTTGAAGACACTTTCTTGAGGAAGGAATCGAAGAGAGGGCTTACCTTTCTGAAGTTCTTTTTCCATCTCTCCGCATGAAAGAACCAGACAAATTGATCTGGCCCCTTGAATGACCAGCCCCTTTCGGTCAGCTCCCTCACCAGCAATTTAGATCAAACTCAGTCTTTCTTTCTCTTCCCTATACAGTGAGCCTTGGCGCATGGAACACCCCAAAAAAAGTCTAGTTCTTCCTATAGTAACCCAGCCACGAGAGTATATCAAGATGCAAACACAAGCTCCCTTTCTAGGTTGGTTTATCTTATGTATGAAGGGGGTGGAGGCACATGATCCTCTTTTCATCAATTGTCCATTGTTAACAACTATTGGTCCTCCAAGGCCCATGCTATCTCCCTTCATAGGACACATTACTCTGCCCAACAACCCAAGGTCCTTCCTACATCTTGACAAGTCATTTTTTAAAAATGGAAAGGGAGGTCCATTGACCATAGGTTAATAGAGCTCTTCTGGAACCTATGGCTCAAGGAACAGCATAATTTGTAACGATAAGGCCGTCTTTCTATATATATATATATATATTTTTTTTTTTTTATAAGTTTAAGTCACTGCTTTGCTTTGGTGTGAATGTTCCTCCCCTCGACAGTTATATAGTCTTAATAATATTTTGATTTTTTTTTTTTTTAAATATTCTTCATTGGCAAGGGTTTTGGCTTTCCTCACATTGTAAGTTATATTTCTTACTATCAATAATTTATTTCCTATAAAAGAAAAGATAAATCACATGTATCATAAGAAAATCATATGGTTCCTCTCAAGGAAAGAATGTTACAAATTGCCAAAATTTTAGGTTTCCTTTCAATTGAATCCTCTGTCAAGAATTGCACGAAAAGATCTTAAGTTATATTCAAATAGGACCAATTAAGATGGAGTGTCCTGAAATACAATACAATATCTTTTCTCAGAAAAGGTGCAGCAGTGAGAAAAGTGATAGGTGTGTATTGTTCTTTTGATTCTATTGTAAGTAGTGATTTTTTCAGTCACAAGCGAACAAATAAGACCTTGCACCGGTATCTCCCCATAAGAAATACTTATGCTTCATACACCTCAACTATGAATATTTATGAAAAGTAGACGAGGCCTATAGAAGCATAAATTTTTCACCTGTTTTTCCAGTTTGGGACAAAGAAAAGTTGTCAATTTTTACACAGAGAAATTTGAATACCTATTGTGTCCAAAAGTTTGCAACACCTTCTGTTTTTCTAGTAGTGCACATTATGGAAAATAGAAATGTGGTTATAAACTTTTTTTTACGTCAATTTTTAAAAAAAATTCTTTTTCTACTCTATCTTCTATAGGATTTAAACTTTTCTGTCCTGATTTTTCAAGATGGTGAAGTGCATTTAATTTCCGTTAAATGTCAATTATATGATTTAAACTTTTACGTCAATTTTTCAAGATAGCGACAATTTCCTCTGATGCCAATTATAAACAATTTATGAAACTTGCCGTTAAAAATCTTACATCTTATTAGCACTAGAGTTTGAAAGAATTGGACTTGCATATACATTGGTACAATCATTAACTAAGTAATTTTCATGAAGTTCTAGAGAACTTTGCCACAACCGCATCCTTATCAACAGCCATCTACTTTTGAAGGGTTGCCTCACTCGTGCCTTTTTAACTAGTTACAAGCTGTGAAAGAGTTGGGAAAGAACTCTAATTCTATTGGAATAATTATGATTAGGGTCCTTGCGCTACAAGTTGTCATAGAAAAAAGTCAAGTATTTCCCTTTTAATTTCTGAGCCAGTGGGCAAGAATGATATATTATCTAACTATAGCCTATTGAATCAAACTCCCGACTTTTCCTGAAGCTATTTCTCAAGAAAAAAATCTTGAGTTCATCTCCTTCAGCTATTGTACTCTGCATTTTGCCTTCCATTTTGTTTTTTCATTCTTCAGTAGATCCTCTGATGGTTGTCTTGAGCAAGACTTTTGATGCTCTCTCTCTTCATAATTAGATCGAAACTTCTTTGTATTGTATATCCTAAATTTATTACACTTTATTTTTGGTCTCATAGGTATATTTTTTTAGGGGAATATACGTATCCCAATTTTTTTTCAAATTATGTTTGGACTTTTTTTAGCTATTATTTTTTTCTCTTCTGTTTGCATTTTATCTTCTTGCCTTTGTCATTCTTTTTCTAGGAGATCTTGTGGGTTTATTCCGTGCATTCAAAATTTTATGTTATAAAACTATAGAAGCTGTATTGACAAATGATGTATTTCTCTGGCATGGATTATAAAATGGTTAGGAGCTGTTATGTTCTTATTTGAAGGCAATTTTGGAAATATTCTACATACGGGTGATTGCAGACTAACTCCTGAGTGCCTACAGAACTTACCTGAGAAGTATCGTGGAAAAAGTGGAAAAGAGCCAAGGTGTAAACTGGATCTGATTTTTCTAGATTGCACATTTGGTAGATTCTTTCAACAATTCCCCAGCAGACATTCAGCAATACATCAGGTAACACAATTTGTTCAATTATTCGACTTTTATTTAGATTTGAGAGTCAAGTGGATCCTCCATAGATTTCCAAATACGAAATCTGCCTATTACTGTTGTCAACATAGCTAAATAAGAGATTTTCTGCTAGTTAGCTAGTTTTTTGCTCCTCACTCTCTCTTTTCTATTCTACTTCATTTTTTTATTTTTTATTTTTTTGTAATGAGAAACATGGAGAAATAAATGTATATATGTACACGTATATATATACAAAAGAAGTTGAACAAACTAAAGGTCAAGGATGAGGAATACCTAAGCTAAATAGGAGTAATCAAACGAAAGACCTCCCATATAAGTTGATCAACAAAAGAGGAGTATAACAAATGTAGTGAAACTACAAGAGTTTGCATTTCCTGATTTCACTGTAAACGTTCTTCTCCACATTTTTCTGAATTCTTTTTAGATCTTTTGTCCTTTTTTTCTCCCCCAATTTTTGGGTTATTGACCGACACTATCATTTTAAACCTTCCTTTATATGTTAAATTTCTATAATTCATGGTGTATGATATCTTGGTGTCTGGTAATCTGTCCATCTTTTATTGGGTGCTGCTGGGATCTTTAAGTCTGTCTGTATTTTCTTGGCTGTTGAGCAGAAGTCAATATTATGTACTTACGTTTTTAAAATTTAACCAATATTAAATGTGTATCTTTGCAGGTTATTAATTGCATATGGAAACATCCTGATGCTCCTTTGGTATATCTGATTTGCAGTCATCTAGGACAGGAAGATATATTGCAACAAGTATCCCAAACATTTGGTTCAAAGATATTTGTTGATGAATACACGAAAGCAGGTTACAAGGCTCTTGAACTTATAGATCCTGACATCCTCACTCAAGATCCATCCTCCCGCTTTCATCTGCTTCATGGATTCCCTAAACTATGTCAAACTGCAAAAGCACTACTTGCAAATGCCCAGACCAATTTTCAGCCCGAACCTCTTGTAATACGCCCTTCGACTCAGTGGTATGTTCGTGAGGAATTGTCAGAGACTTGCAACACAAGGAAACAAATAATTAGTGAAGCAATTAAAGATCAGCACGGTATTTGGCATGTCTGTTACTCAATGCACTCGTCGAAGGAAGAACTAGAATGGGCCTTGCAAATTTTAGCACCAAAATGGGTTGTTTCAACCACTCCTGGTTGTCGGGCTATGGATTTGGATTACGTTAAAAATAAACCCAGTTGCTCTAGCTTAACTTCCAGTGGCCTAATCTGGAAGCTTTTTGGTTTAGCAGAGGAAAGTTCTTCAGATTTAGATGCTTCAGCGATTGAAGTGAGGTGTTCTCCTATAGTTGAAACATCCACTCTAAAAGATATGGATCCTCAACTTCAGCCTGCAAAATTGTATGCAGTTCCTAGAGAAAAGTTAGACATTTTATCTTTAAGCAACTTGCCACCTCTCACATTATTCGGACGAGCTAGACTCACCGCCGAAGATGCCAATGTGTTACTGGAAGAAGTTTCATATCCATCAATAGAGAATGAGCCTGTAGAAGCAGTTGGAGATAAAGTAGCAGACTTGTCCATTCACGATGCAAATGGTAGACCGAGTGACAAACCATCAAAACATTCTAAAAACGAAGTTAACTCCAAAGGAAAACACGAGAAATTTGCAAACGGCAGGGTATTATTAGCTGATGAATGCGCCTCTCATTGCTCTGATCGGGCTAGGCTCCATATTTCTGAAGTAAAAGTTGTGTCCATGAACAACAATAACCCACCAGAAGCAGTCAGCAGTGAGGTAGAAGAACTTCATTTCCATGAGCAAGAAAGTAGAGGTAAGGGAAACAAATCGTTAGACGATTGTGAAGATGTCGTTACCGTTCCCGAAACACAAATTGGGAAGTTAGTAAAGGATGACAGAATAGCAGGGTGTAGTAATTCACATGTTTTAAGTGTTGGATCTTCAAAAGGTTTTAATCACAGGTTTAGAAAGTTGTACAGGTCAATGAATGTAGCTGTGCCAGAGCCTCTTCCTTCGCTTGTGGAGCTTATGAAATCGAGAAAACGGGCAAAGCGGAATGCATATTTCTAGACATAGCTTAGGTCATAGCTACTGGCGGCTTGCTAAGTGACAAGGTACACAATTTTTTTTATCAGTTTGTATTGCAAAGCTATATAGAGATGATAATTTGATTCCTTCTCCAAAGTTAGGAAGCTTAGAGATATTGTTGTTACATTTTTTTTTTCCTTTTTCAAATTCTTGATTGTTCCATGTTGGAATAAATTTGATTAATTCATATGGCATGAATAAAAGTAGCACTATATAAATAGAGATATAATAATAGATAGAGAGATATATGTTTTTGTTGAGTATTATTGGGAGTGAGTCCCATATTGGTTAGTTTAGTGGAAGATCATGGGTTTATAAGTGATGAATACTATCTCTGTTGGTATGAGATTATTAGGGAAGCCCAAACCAAATCCATGAGAGCTTATGCTCAAAGTGAACAATATCATACCATTGTGGAGAGTCATGATTTTTAACAGTTTTTTTGTTTCAAGTTTTTACAAATCGGATTCTAACTTTAACGTAAAAGTAGGAGTGGTTTAGCACAACAGACGTGTTTGGTACGTTTAGTTTGGTTTTTGTGCAACATGCGTTGGTTGGTGAATAGCAGAAAGAGGCAACTTTTTGTTTGCATGGTTTATTTGAGCAATGGTTGGCAGCAAAAAGCAATGGATTAGGCACCAAATTTGAAGTTTTGAGAGAGAGAGAGTGCATCTGAATCACCCATTTCTTTCAAAACCATCCAAATTAATTCTACAATCTTAAAATTAGGTATTGGATTTTAATATTGAGATCATATTGTAAATAAATAAAAGCTTTAGTGATGGGTTGGGTGAGACACCAATAAGTGAATGACCAGACCACCCCCCACTATAGTGTTAGTGGAATTTTACTCACAATCTTCATTGTATTATTAACAAACTTTCTTGGTGTTCTGAAAAAGGGATTATAAATATTCCTATCCTTTTATTATTATTATTATTATTATTATAAGATTATTGACAGAAAATATATTTTTTAATGAAAAAATGTCTGTGACAAACTTTCTTGAGTTTTAATTATTTTATTTATCTAAAAGTGACTGAACTTCACATTTTTTTAATAAAATCAAGTTTATTATTTGGCCTAAGGGATGCTAAAATTTTCTAACTCAATCAATTTATTTATAATCTAGCTTCTTCTCTTCTCGGGTTAATGAAAATGTGATACCATATTGTTTAAGTCTCGAAATCAATATTTAGGGGAACTACTCGTCTATTTATCCTATTTGGAAAAGTTAATTTTATCTCATAAGCTTACGTTCCCCACTCCCTTTTTAGTGAAGTCTCTAAAATGACAAACATATTGAATCGACAATAAAAAATATATTCACCGATGAGAATTAAAGGATAAATCTTCATCGACAGAAGTTCATAATTCATTCAAGATTAAGATCAAGTCGCATGCGATCATTCTATGAAATATTAACCTCACTCACATGTCTTCTCATAAACAATTTGGATACAATAATTTATAACAATTATAATGTGAGTTGTATCAATAATGTTATCAAGACAGGGCTTCCAACTTTATTTATATACTTTAACCTTTTAAGTATTACTTAAAAGTAAACATGATATCTTATGTGTGAACCATAGTGAACAAAATAAACATTTTCTAGTAAGATTATTAGATTTTAATGTTGCTCATCCAAAACTTAACGGTAAAAATATTTTTAAGATAGTTTTATAAATTTGAAATTTAGGAGTTTTATTTAAAAAATAATTGATATTTATTTGGTTTAATTTTTTTGGAAACAGATTGGTTTTGGTGAATTGAAGTTTGAATAGATTAACTAGGCAAAAACAAAAGGAAGTGGTGACATAGCTACCGCTCAAACGCGTTACTTTATACCAATATTCCCATTCAAATTCCACATTTCCCCCAATGATTTTTGTAAGTTTTTATAATAATAATCCCCACAAAAATCCATTCCCTCTTTCTGTATAACCTGAATTCTATTCAACCCCGATGATGTACAACAAGTTTTGATTTCTCCCTGCGACCACCTTCAACTGGGTCCTCCACTTTTCCATGTAGAAGTTTCCTGTTTCATTCGGGGGGGAGAAAGAGTCAATCGATTCCTTCTGGGTTCTTTTTATTTCGCCCAATTTCACTGATCATGGCGACGACGACGACGACGACGACTTTTCTTTCTCAATCTCCAAAAGGGTTGTAGTTTCTTCATCAATTATTTGGCTTCTCTTTACTTTGAGCCATGCTGTAGTTCGTCGTCCGTGAGTTTTCTGGAATCGAGAAGTTGATCGCCATGCTGTTGCTATGTGGAAGGTCTGATGATTCACAGGTGATTTTTACTATTTCTTCTCCAGCATGATTGCTGCTTCAACTTTAATTTAGAATCATCACCGTCTCTGTCTCGTTTTGGATGCTCAGATAGTGATGTCTGTTTAGGAAAAAAGATTATTTAGGAAGTTTTTGAAGCTTTACTTTTGAACTTTGGGAACTTAATTAAGTTTTTGTTTCTTTTTCTGGTAACTAGATGTGGAATATTGGGAAGTTAAATACCTTTGTGAGGAAATGGACAAATTCGTAGCCACAACGCCGTTTACATCATAAACTCATAAGTTTTCACCATGATTAAGGATTTTTTTTTAAAACTTAATCCCTAAAATAGAATGATTACTAAAAGAATTAGAGACACAACACCATGAAGAAAGTTTGGAGTTTCACAAGGTATATGAAGTTGCTTCAGAAGGAGTTTTCATCGTCTCCTATTAAAGCCACCATGAAAGAACAATTAACAGACCCACATGATTGGAGATGAAAACTGGGCACCCCTTCTGAATTTTTTAATGCTGTATTCAACCCTTCATAGAGGATGGGCCATGTAAATTTGTTTTTGATTTCTTATGATTCATCCCCTTCTAGATTGCTGACTGCACTCTTTTGCCCACTGTAACAATGTCACAGATGATGTGTATACTTCTGTTTGAATTTCTTTATTTGTTTCTTCTGTTCCCCTTTCATTTTTGTCCATATTTGTAGTTAATCACAATGAATTATGAACTGTATTATGAATGCTCTCTTCCTTTTTTTTCTCTGTGATCGCTTCTCAAGGAATTCTAGCTAAAGTTTGGACTTCTATATCTTACATGGCAGTGTTCGAAAATGAGAATTAATTTGTCTAGCTCTGGCATATGCCTTTCTTCTGTTTTATAACCTGCCCCCTTCAGTGTTCCTTATAGCCGTTTGATACCCAAATGATTGAGCTGTAGAAAGTTGGCAGGTAACTCCAATATGTATGCATTTGTAATACACAATAATCAGTGACATTTTTCATGGAAATTCCTGTATCTACTTGGTCTTTTGTTCTTTAGACCTCTGCCTATAGGATCCTCTCGCAAGTCTTTGGATTCTCTATTAACCGAACCACTTTCTATATGAAATACAACTATATCGTTAGCGGTGGAAAAAAAGAATTGTTAGATTGCAAGTCATATGGAATAACAGGTCAGAGATTGACTGCAGCTATAAGAGTAGTTATCAGTTTTTTTTACCCCCACAATAAGGACTTTATTTCTGTTCAATATTGGATTTCTCAAGTTCTTCATATTCAGCGTTTATCTGGGATTCTAGATTCATCATTTCTGTCTCATGTAGCTTTATTTTTTTTCTGCGGTAAATATATTGTATTATATAAAATTAAAGAAGAAATCAATTTATCCATAATTTTTCTTGTTGGCTCCCATGTAGGTAATAATTGGAGATGAAGCAGTTTAGAAAGAAACCACTTTCAATCTGAAATACAACTCTACGACTTTACTGTTGCAAAACGTGTGTCAGATTGCTAGTCATAGGAATAACAGTTCAGAGATTGATTGCAGCAAAAGGAGAAGTAGTTAACAAATTTTTTTTTTTTTTTTTCACATTGGTTACTTTCTTTCTATTCAATGTTGCATTTCTCCTGCTCTTCATATTCCGCATTTCTCTGGGATTCTAGATTCTTTCTTTTCTGTTTTAAGTAGTGTTATTATTTTCCCCTGTAAATATATGGATTATATAAAATTAAAGTTGAAATTCATTCTTATCATTATTTTTGCTTGTTGGCTCTCATGTAGGCAATAATTTGAGATGAAGCATTTTGAAAATGGTGGATCTGACTTGGAAGAGGGTAAAATGGGAAAGGAAAAAGACAAAGCATTACGCAATAATAGGGACCAGGCCTTATTGTCTGGCCTTGCATACTGTGTTTCCTCCTGCAGCATGATACTGGTTAACAAGTTTGTGCTTTCCAGTTATGACTTCAATGCCGGGATATCGTTGATGGTCTATCAGGTGAACATTATTGAAAATATGCTATCCTTTGTAGAAGCTTAATATTCACTGCTGTTTACCACACCTTTTGAAAGTTAAATGGAAGAATCATAAGTTGTTGCTCCATTTATTTATGCAGAATCTTGTATCGGTGAGTATTGTAACCATAATGAGCTTTATGGGCATAATATCCACAGAACCACTCACATGGAGACTAGTTAAAGTGTGGTTGCCAGTAAATATTATTTTTGTTGGGATGCTCATTACTAGTATATTCAGGTATGATCTTTCATTCCCTTATTGTTTAATTACAGAATTTAAGTATGTGTTTTCTGAAAGGAAGTTTAGAAAATTTCAGATTCAACGTTTTTCTCTGATCTTTTTTGAAAATATGTGCACAACTCTTGACCATTCAACATGTGCATAATTGTGATTTTTTAAATGCTGATCATCAAACTTAGTAAATAATTTGATTTCTACCTAAGCTTCTTAAGGAACATTGGCACGCAAGACCATCTCATGTGCCCCAAAGATTAAAAAATGGATTCAGTAATGCATGTCAACCATAAAGCTAACAAATACCGGATTTCCCCCCATTGGCTTCAATTAACCAAACTTTTTTGAGTCTTGTATTGTATCTTAGTGTGCACCAAATACTCTTTTTGCCTAGATGGCATATTCTTCTCACACTAATTTGGCTGCTAAAGTTTGTTCAGAATCTTCTGCTATTATTCAAACCAATTTTTTTCTAAAATGAAGCAATTAAGCAAAAGAGGCCTTCACCCATTTTTCCTTCTACCATTGTGGTTCCAGTTCTGTCTATCATACAGTCTCATTTCTGTGTCTGGTGCTTCGTGGATGACTTACATAATCATTGTTCACCAATATCTGGAGTTTTCCCAAGATTCTATTTTTTTTTTTTTTTTTGTGTTAACCTTATTTCTTTGTCTATAACTTATTTGTAGGTTTGTGTTTCATGTACTTCCTCAGATAATTTTTACTTCTCCTGCAGTTTGAAATACATTAATGTTGCTATGGTCACAGTTCTGAAGAATGTTACCAATGTAATAACTGCAGTTGGTGAAATGTATCTATTTGGCAAGCATCATGACAACAGGGTCTGGGCTGCACTATTCCTCATGGTATGTAGTATATCTAATTATTGCTACATGGACTAGTTACAAAAGGGATATTTTAGTGTTATTTTGTTGCATGCCATGGTTACTTTATTGCTATGTTTTGTATCCACAAAGATTTAATCTATAAGTTCTTCCTTTACGTGTTCTAGCGAATCTATTAAGAAGCTTACACAAAGATAGGATACGCTCTGCTTACAACCATTGTGTAAAAAATGTATATGACATCTAATTACAGGTTTAACGAAATTTGATTTGAAAAATGTTTTCACATACTTTCACACAGATTTAATGCTTTCAAATGTAATAAATTAAATGATATTGAGATTTAAAGGTACAAATATTCTCATATACTCTTCTTCTTGATTTGATTTCTTAATTGCATTAATGTTTTGATTTCTATGGTAGTTGATGTCAAATTCCTAGATTTAATGGAATAAATGAGAACTGACATTCATTTTTCTATGTCATGAGCGCATCTCTAGTGTGTTTGAAAATTTTAAACCACTTAAAATTTGGGACTAATCGTGTGTTAGGAGCATGTCCATGTTTGGCATTGACGCTACTCAAAATAGAGCGTGCATGCTTCCTAGCTAATCAAAGAATGTAGGGACTCAATTTTTTAATTGTGTATATATATTGGTTTATTTATTTTTTTAGTTGTGTATATATATTGGTTTATTTATTTTTTAGTTGTGTATATATATTGGTTTATTTAATGATCTCATCCAGTTTTGTTTGATGAGAGTGGAAAGAAGATTCAATTTTGAAAGTTTATTTTCGTAAGTGATGTGCTTAGTCCAACCATCTGGTTCCAAATAGTTGATTCGCATTGCTTTAAGCTCAGTACAATTAAATGCCTACTATGTCTATAACCAAAAGTGAATTTCCCTCTGTTCAAAGAATGTGCAAAGGGATGAAAGTGTGGATTTCTGAGAAGAGTGCATGACCTTATTATGCAAGATTGAATGCAACTTTGTTCTTGTTGTTCTGTTTTGTGACATAAGATTAGAATTTCAGCTGTTTCTAGAGTGGTATCTAGCTGATGGCTTGTGCTCCACAGAAGGAGGCCTTCAATTTATCAACCTCATGATAATCATTTAGATTTTAGGGGTTCAATCATTTAATCACTAACCCATTTCAAATGTTTCCTCCCTGTTGAGCTTAAAGCTTTTCTTCCTAGATGATCATGAATTCTAGAATAAGGAAATGAAATTCAAAGCTTTGTGCAGATAATCTCGGCAATAACTGGGGGACTTACTGATCTATCTTTTCATGCTGTTGGCTATACATGGCAAATTATCAACTGCTTCTTGACTGCTTCATATTCTGTGAGAACGTAACTTGAAGGCTTTTATATATAGTTTATTTTTGTCCTTCCATTTTCAATGCCTTAACTTTTTTTTCATACATTTTCCACTATCTGAAACGACACTTATATTCTCTATCACTTTCTTTTAGTTCTATTTTCATCTGTTCCAGTTACTTTATTCCACTGCAATATCTCATTCTGATTGTTGGCTTTTTGTAGTTCTTCGGCCAATGAGAAGTTTAGTTGCTTTCTCACATAGTAATTGGTTTTTCTTGTACTCAATTAATTTGAAATTCGATCTTCCAATTGAGAAAAGAATAGCTGAGAGTTTGAAAGAGGTCACTAGGGATGCATCTTTCTATATTCTTCTTTATTCCACGTTGGCAATTGATCTGTTAGTCGTCCCAAATGTGCAGTCAACTCGTCATAGTTAATAGCTTTTTATGACACAGCTGATGTTAAGTTTTTATGCAGCTGACTCTACGAAGGATAATGGATACAGCCAAGCAAATAACCAAATCAGGAAACTTGAATGAATTCTCCATGGTCCTGCTAAATAACACTCTTTCTATTCCTCTTGGGATATTTCTTGGTTTTGTGTTTAATGAGACTGATTATCTCTCAAGAACGTAAGCATTTTTTATCTGTTTTTTTTCATCTAATTCCCTTTTTTTTTTGTTGTTGATAACTAAGCTCGAGTTTGATAACTATTTGGCTTTTAGTCTTTGGTTTTTGAAAATTAAGTTTATAAATACTACTTCTACCTATTGGTTTCCTTGTTTCGTTATCTACTTTGTATGTATGTTTTCAAAAACCAAGCTAAAACTTGAAAAGTAAAACAATTAGTTTTCAAAAACTTGTTTTTGTTCTTGGAATTTGGCTCCTAAGAAAGGTGAAAACCATTGTATAGAACCAAATGGTTATCAAATGGGGTCTAAAGTATTGGGGACTTCTTGTTGCATTGTGTGTACTCATCCCACTAATTCTTAAGAGGCTTTACCTACTCCAAGGCTAGATTCAAAAGATCCAAGGGTTTTGAATGATTTAAGTTTTCTACTTGGAGTTGGGAGGTTTAACCTTGGTTGTAGGCCTTAGAGAGAAATGATCATGTTTTCTGTCGTGGAAATTTATAACATGTTAGAGAAATGATGTATTGACTTGGAAAACCTTATTTTTTTCACCATGTATGTCTATTTCGACCAGCATAAATGTGAATTTAACGAGTGTTATACTTGGCAGGCCGCTTTTGAGATCACCGATGTTCTGGCTGGTGATGACATTCAGTGGTGTTTTGGGTCTAGGAATTAGCTTCACGTCCATGTGGTTTCTTCGTCAAACTGGGGCAACAACGTACAGGTAAAATCAGGAAAAACAAAGTCTAATGCTAATGCTAATGCTATTTCTAAGATTCTCTCATTCATATGAGCTTGCTTATTAGACATGACGAGGTGCAATAAACATACCAGCATTTAAACTAAGATTCTCATGCTTTGTGCTTTGATACCATACTAAATCTTCATCTCTGAAAGCCCATAATTAGTAGGATTTCAAGATTGGCTTCTGACTTCACACCTTGACATGTGCAGAATCTGTTGTGTAACATCCTTTGTTCTAAATGAATCTTCTCAAAATCTGTTTGTCCGGAGAAAAAAATGGTGAAGCAATGTAACAGCCCAACAGCCCAAGCCCATCACTAACAGATATTGTCCTCTTTGGACTTTCCCTTCCGGACTTCTCTTCAAGGTTTTAAAACATGTCTCCTAGGGAGAGGTTTCCACACCTATATAAGAAACGCTTCGTTCCTCTCCAATCGATGTGGGATCTGTTAGTGGTGGGCTTGGGCTGTTACTGACACAAGTATATTTGTGTAGTCTCATTTTTATTCTAACTCTGCATCATGTGACGAAGACTTGAGTTCCAGTTTCTACCTGCCCCCATTTGCAGATTATTTGCCTTCAATTACTTGTTCATTGACACAAATTTTTTCATGTTTTTATACCCAATATTTCCAGAAATTGCATGCCAACACAACATTTGAAATATGTTAACGCTTTTATAATACTATAGTTCAGATTTTCGGTATGAGATCTAGTATGCACATCTGATCCCTGCCTTATAACTTGCAGTCTTGTGGGGTCATTGAACAAGATCCCTCTCTCAGTTGCTGGTATCTTACTTTTCAAGGTCCCAACGAGCATGGAGAACTCCACGAGTATATTTTTCGGTAAGTTCTTCTCCTAAATGGTCGAATTCAGATATTGTATTTCCTCAGTAGCCGTAGACTCTTCGATTGGCATATGCAAAACTAAAGAAATGGCATTTTGCAGGGCTTTTAGCTGGTGTTTTTTTTGCAAGAGCCAAAATTCGAGAGAGAAGTTAATGTTCGATGGCGATATCCGAAAAAAAGAACTTTCCTTGACGTGGTGAACATAGAACTACCTCGACTGTAATTTGGAATAGAAAATGGGTAGCTATATCTCCATAGCTGCAGTTCATTGTTTGTTGGGTGGGTTGTTTCAGCTTTATAATTGGCATGAAGCTGAAGAGATTTGTGTTGAAATGCTACTTTGATTTAGGTTTGTTGTATGGAAGGAAGGAAGGAAGGAAAGACAATGCAGCCCACTGGTTATTGTTTGTTTCATCAATTGACTCTTCTTGTTCTGTGTTCTTTTTGCTCTGTCATTTCTTTACTTTTCAAAAGTATGTTTCAAATCGCACAAAAACTCTTTCTGCTTCCTAAAACATAATTTTACAATTTTTTTAACATTTGAAGAACTCAGATTGCTATTGTTTTAGGTCATAAAAATACTGTAAAAACGTTAAAAATTGTTGTATGTGTTCGGATTGGAATTTCAAGCTTCCTTTGGAATTTCAAACTTGTGGATAATCTTGTTTAAAAGAGGTAGGAACAAGTTTGAAGAGAAATGGTGGACAATTGCTCTCGAATTTGGAAGAAACTCGAGAGTAGGAAATCCAAAATTCGACGACTATCACTTCGATTCTTGTTCCAAAGGAAAGGCTATACTACAGACGTTATAGAGAGAGCTTTAACTAACATTAAAACCTCAAGAATCGTCATGATTTGGAGATTGAGTTATTTGAATTTCTTGTTAGAAATATCCTCTTTGAACCATGAGCATTTGCATTCCAGAAGAGGTGTTTCTCCTTTCGAACATACTCAAATTTGGAGAAGATCCAACCATTGAAATTAAAGATACAGTAGATTTTCTAAGGGTAGCTCACAGTTGCAGATCTTATCTGATCTGTGATATTTTCGTAATTAACTTGAAATTTAAGGATATTTTGGTAATTTGTCATTTTCTAAATATTTTATTAACTTTTTTAAAAAAATCCGTTTTTTTTTAATTCCTTTGTATCGGCCTAGATCCTATGCTAGCAAATATTGTTCTCTTTGAGCTTTCCTTTTCGGGCTTCCCCTCAAGGCTTTAAAATGGAAGGGAAGGTTTTCTGACATAAATATTGTTCTCTTTGGACTTTTCTGTTCGGGCTTCCCCTCAAGGCTTTAAAATGTAAGGGAAGGTTTCCTGACATGCCGAGTGGAACAAGAACCCACAATTGTCGTTCTCATTTTTTTTTCTTTTACTATTCATGTTGGCTCAAAACATGAATTATATTGGATCTAAACCCTTATTCCTTTTTAGCTTATTACATTTTCTCCATTCAAATTATTTTCAATGCATTTTCTCGCTCATCATTTCTAAAACATTTATCTCAAACATGACCCAAAACTCGATCATACGTTAAGGTTGTCCATAAAGTCAGACTTTTGTACGACTAACTTGTTAGCTAGGTTATAATAAGTGTCGCACAATAATTGTCTTCTTACTACAAGAGTGCGATTGAGACACATGACACGTATCCCTTGTCTAACCAATCATAGAGTTGACCTTGACCTGTCTGGTGTCACTCGAGCCCAAGAATCTTCTCATTTACCACATGAATTATATTGGATTATGTTTGAAAGATGGTTAGTTGAGAGTTATAAATAATGTATAAATTAAAATAATAAAGTATTTAGTTAATTAATTAATTAAAACCCTAATTACCCCGTGAAGAGCGGCTTCCATTTTTACACCGCCTTTTCAGTTTCCCACCCCCACCAAATCTCCTTTTACGCTATATGTCCCACCGGCTCTTCCGCCTCCAATCCTCTACACTAACTCCCACACTACCACTTCAAGTCTAACCAACCAAAACTTGCCACGTCTCCACAGTCGAACTCCGATTCGTCAGCTCACATGAACACACAGTCTTTTACTTGCACCTGATTTTCAGGCTCCCCGACTTCACCCTCTCTAAGTCCTACCGTTCTTTATCATTATTATGTTTATTGTCTTTCTTTATTTATTTTTCATAATTAATTGTTTTTTTTTTAATTTTTTTCTACCCTATTACCGTTTTGCCCCCCTTTATTTGTGAAATCCACAACACAACCAATTCATTTTTTAAGAAAAAAATAATAATTATAATACATAAAATTAACTAAAATAAATAAATAAAAAATAAAAAAAAAGTAAAATTTTTTATTTTAAGAAATATCAGTCTCTTTCATTAACCCAATCAAATTTAATGAATCAAACCCATATTTTTTTATTTAATAAATATTTAAATTTTTATCTCTAAAAAATTAAATTTTTTGATAATTTGAATCTTATATTCCATGAAAATTTAAAATATATAAATTTAAACCGTCATGAAGCAAATAAAAATAAGTATAAATGTGAAGATTGGTAATTTAATATGGTTGTTATTAATTTTAAAACATAAAAAATATTTGAATTTAATAAAATAAAATAAAAATGTTTTTGTCTAATGTTTGGCAAGGGTAGTTTGGGTATTTAAAACAAAAGATTAGAGCATTAGACTTAGGGTTCAAACTACAAATAAGGCATCGTCTATATTCCATTAAAAAAATTAAAAAAGGAAAAAAAAAACTTGAGTTGCGCGTACAAAATGTCCACCCCTCGGCTTCTAGGCCCGTAGCCTTCTCCTTCTCCTTCTCTGTTCCATTCTCGATCATCATCGCCTTTTCTTCTCCTCTGTCCTCAATTTCTCGCATGCAAATTCAATTTCAATTTCATTCTGAATGGACGGTGAGAAATCGAGTTTCGCTCCTCTCATCAACCCTTCCTGCTCCTCTCTTCTCCTCCTCTTCATCTTCATCGCCATCCTCACCCTTCAAATCGCCACCAGAACTCCTTTTCCGATCTGGATGCCTTCCTCCACTCTCGCCACCACGGACACCGATTCCGAACCGACCTGCTCCGCCTTCTTCCACCGGGATGCAGCGCCGGATACGGTGGTTATGTTGATAACGGATTTCGGAGGAGTGGGCGACGGGAGGACTTCCAACACGGAAGCGTTCCGTAAGGCGATCGAGTACATGCGGCGGTTCGGCGAGACAGGCGGGTCTAAACTGATCGTTCCCAAGGGCAGCTGGATCACGGGCAGCTTTAATCTCACCACTAATTTCACGCTTTTTCTCCAACGTGGCGCTGTTATTTTGGGCTCACAGGTCCGCCTCTTCCTTCCCCTTTTTTTTTTCCCCCTTTTCCTCTTTAATTCAATTCAATTAAATTCCTTTTTATCGCATTATACTAAATTATATTCCAAAAATTTAAATATATATATATATATATATATATATATATATATATATATATATTATATCTGCAAACTCTGCTGTGATTTTTTTACTGCTGGGTATTTATTTATTTTATTTTATTATGGTTTAGAAAGGGACAAGAACTTTGTGATTCTGGGGAAGAAGAAAAGGCCAAATGGAGTTTTATTACTTAGCAGAAAAGGAAAAATCTGAATGCTCACTCTGGCGGTGTCACCTATGTTGTTTTTTCACTTTTTTTTTTTTTTTTAAAAAAAACAACCTAAATACATTGTGATGTCTCCGGCCCAAAGAATACAATATCGGCTAACTGTGGATCTGAGCCGTTACAAATGGTATCAGAGTCAGACACCGAAGTGCCAACCTTCTTGCTGTTTCCTAAAAGGGGTAAACACGAGGTGGTGTGTCAGGCCCCAAAAGGGATGGATTTGGTGGCAGTCACATATTAGTTAGGAAAGATAACAAAAACACTATTTAAAACGGTGTGGAAACCTTTCCCAACAGACCCATTTTAAAGCCTTGGAAAAAGTTCAATATCTGCCCTTACATATATATAAATAGTCACTAAGCTCAAAGATACAGGGTCACTAAGCTCACCATCCCCAAATTAAAATATTTAGAGTCTTAAATTCATAAAAATAAACTTCAATTTTTATATATATTTTTTCATTAATGTTCTATAGATTCTTTTGGGAAAATGAAGAAAGAAAAAAAGTTGTAAATTCCTTCCTCCAAGGTGGTGAGCAATTCTTTGGTTGACTTTTTTTTTTTTCTTTTTGAATTATTATGGGTGGGTATTATTTGAAATTGTTGAATGAATTACTTTGTTTATCAATCATGGTGGCATGTTAGTGTGAAAGAAAGATATGTTTTTTTTTAAAAAAATATTTTATTTTTTTGTAAAAAGGATCCAGATGAGTGGCCCATTATAGAGCCACTACCTTCCTATGGAAGAGGGAGAGAGAGACTGGGAGGAAGACATATCAGCCTCATTCATGGCAATGCCCTTTCCAATGTCCTCATCACAGGTACTCCCTCTTCTTTGCCTCTTTATTTATTTATATATATATACATATTTTGGCTCCTTCTTCAATGCTTCCATTTTATATTCCGTGGGGATTCTTGAATTTTGTAAACTAATGGCATTCTACTTTTCTTTTCTCAAGTTCATCGCTAACCCATTTAATGGATTTTAGGGCCCATTTTATACCATTCTTATTATTTTCCCAATATTTTGTCAAATCGGATCCTAATAATGCTTCGTCTACATTGCCTGGTACATTGAACTGAAAATAGTGTTGACTCTTTTGGTATACTTCGTCTAATGGTCTAAGTCCATCACTTCGTGTCTACCCCTTTTGGGGCTCAGTCTTCTTGTTGTCACACCGTTCGATGTCTGGTGTCACAATCCCACTTTGATGGCAACGGACTTGCGATTGTGCGGTACTCACTTCTCAGCAACAAGTGAGTTAAGTCTATTCGTTCTCGCATCGCCTACGGCCAAGCGACGTATACTCGAGTCTCTGGCCCCGGTTCAAGAAGGTTTTAGAAAACGGGAGTAGAGAGATTTCGAAAGAGGGTTTTGAAAGCAAGAGTTGAGAAATTGAAATTTGTGTTATATAGAAATGTAAGCAAAAAGACAATAACAACGGCTATTATTGTATATAGCTATCGGGTAGGGAGAAATGCCTCAAAACGTCATACTTTCTAGAAATACAAAAGTAAAACACTACAACATGAAAAGACATAAAAGATTTAGCTTGTCATGGACATGCGGCCATGGGCAACACGCCTTGGACGAGCATGACCGTGACACCTGGCTATGATACCATTTATAATAGCCCAAGCTCACTTCTAGTAGATATTGTCTTTCTTGAGGTTTCTCTTTCAGATTTCTCCTCAAGGTTTTTAAAACGTGCGTGCTAGGGAGAGGTTCCACACCCTTATAAAAAATGATTTGTGCCTCTATAATCGATGTGGAATCTCACAATTCGTATGAAAGTCGTTTAGCTATGTTTATGTTT